GGGTGTCCCTTTAACATCTAGAGGTTTGGCTTTGTCTCACTGACAAAGGACTCACCAAGTTCTTCCAAAATGTGAGATGCTGCTTGAGTGAACGTCTTGGGGGTTGGCAGTCACACCAAGCCAGTCCTCGGCCTGGGAAGGACAGGCTGCGCCTCCCTGATGGATCCAATCCAGCCAGGACAATGAGGGAAGGGAGAGGCAAAGCCTGAAACAGAATGTTTCCTGGTATCCTGGAGCTCTAATAGACAATGGAGGATAAAGAACAGTCGCAGAAAAGGGGGCTGACATCGGAAATGGAGTCCTCCAGAGCTCAGGACAGGGTGTTAAGACTGGAGCGGGGAGAGGTAGAGGTGGGGCCAAGGGATGAGTCTGTAGACAAATCTAGGGCCACTTCCTCTATCCTGGAGTGCCCTTGCAAAGGGGTGGAGGGAGAGGTGTCCTCTGAGACCTTGATGATAGAGGCAGATGGAGGTGTCAGAATGGTCTGGCCCTTTTGGCCCTGCTGGGGCTCATTTGGTTGAGATGGTCAGGCTCAAAACAGTGGAGTGAACTCTAGCTAGTGGGAATGGGGGAACAAGGGGCTGTCTACATGTCTGCATGGCTAATGTATCTCCTCTGGCTGGGGTGTCTGGGCTGGGAAGGTATGGAGTGAAGGGTGACTGGGGCCTGGATGACACTCACTACAGCTCACCAGGTTTGACCAAGAAAGACGAGCGTTTGTCCTGTCCCCAGTTCCTGCTGCCACGTAGGGCTGTTTCAGGCACCGTGGCTCCTTCACCCAGAAGGAACTTCCTTCACGCATCCGTCCATCTCCTTGATCCCTGTGAACCAGTTTTCCTTTGTGTTTCCACAGCCACGGCCTGGCAACACTGACCAGGAAAGTGAGGAACAGGAGCAATTCCGGAACATTTTCAGGCAGATAGCGGGTGATGTGAGTGCCTCCAACCCCAACTCCCACAGATGCTCCTCTCCTGTCCTGGGCTAACTGCTCAAATGACCAGTTATTTCATTATTGCTCAGTAGATGTCATTTTGGCTTTGGGTGGAAACGGGAGATATACATGCGTGTAGCACAGAAATCTACAAGCGAAACCCCTGAGTTTTGGACTAACATACCCCTGGGTGGGTTAGAGGCCCTTTTGCCCGGAGCTGCCTACTGCAGTCTGGACACCTGAGGGTACAATGTCTGTTTTCCTCAGAAAAGGCCTAGATTCCTCATGACAGAATAGCACTTGGAGGGGCTTTACAAACACAGACAGCAGGGGTTCATTTTGCAAAGCCTCTGCTCCATCAGAGGCTGTACTCTTGAACCATGCATGACTCTACTCCCCTCCTCAGGACATGGAGATCTGTGCAGATGAGCTCAAGAATATCCTCAACAATGTTGTGAATAAACGTGAGTGACTCAGACTGTTGTGTGTGAGATGGACGGGCGGGGGTTGTGTCTAGTTATCTGACAGGAGCTCCTCACTCTTCTCCGTCCCTCCCAGATAAGGACCTGAAGACACAAGGGTTCACACTGGAGTCCTGCCGCAGCATGATTGCGCTCATGGATGTATCCTTCCTGCCACCCTGCACAACCCTCTGTCACCAGCCCTTGTGCAGCCCTTGGGAACCAGGGCAACCATGAGGGGTGCTCCAGTCAGGCCGAGGGGTCCAAATTAATGTCCAATGAAAGACTTAAGGAGGTCCTGAGTCACAATATCCTGGCTGCTGTTCTGAAAGGGGCTGTTGGAGGCACAAGTTGGGAAGGCCACTAGATTATAACCAGCTCCGGCTGCCCGCTGCTCTTAACTGAGGCTGGGATTCTACCTGAGGCCCTGCCCAAGCAAATGTGGTTCCTAGGAGACAGGCTCCCTGGGTCATTGACACTTTGAGGAGGCAAGGAGGGGAGGGTTAAATACCAGGACAGGACCATGGGTAGGATATCCTGGGCAGAGCCTTCCTAAGGGGCTATCTTCCCTGCAGAGCCCATTTGAACCCCCCTCCCAATCCAGGGGGATTTTGCTATGTGTGTCCTGTAGCCCTGACCTTCCTCCAGACGGATGGCTCTGGGAGACTGAACCTGCAAGAGTTCCATCACCTCTGGAAGAAGATTAAAGCCTGGCAGGTGGGCAGAGAGAACGAAGCACGGAAGTGAAGGAGGAGGAGGATTCAGGGGTTTTGTGTGTGACCTCGGTCCTCAAATTTTCTATTGCCAGAAAATTTTCAAACGCTATGACACAGACCAATCCGGCACCATCAACAGCTATGAGATGCGAAATGCAGTCAATGATGCAGGTGCTGGGAAAGAAAGGGGGTGACCGGGATGGGGACTAAGGCGGGCGGAAGCAGGGATGGGAGGGGAGGACTCAGCTGCCGGGCCACGGACTGGCCCAAGGACTGCGACTCTATATGCTCCTCTCACGGGCTTCCTCCACAGGCTTCCACCTCAACAGCCAGCTCTATGACATCATTACCATGAGATACGCAGACAAACACATGAACATTGACTTCGACAGTTTCATCTGCTGCTTTGTCAGGATGGAGGGCATGTTCAGTAAGTTAGGGGCTTCCCTTCCGCTGGCCTGTGCCCTTCCTGCCCCTTCTCCTGCAGCAATCGCTGTGGCAGTAGGAATCTCAGTTTGACTTTCCACTCTACTCCATTCAGGCTGAACAAAGGCTCAGAATGGGATGTTTTAAGCTCAGAATGGGATGGCAAAGGGAGGGTTACTGGGGATACTCTGCCTGGCAGAGTATGGTCCTCTTAAGAAAAGTTATAGGAGGCTGGTGAGCTCAGGTGGTTAGAGAGCAGGCTCATAATACCAAGGTTGCCGGTTCGATTCCCACATGGACCAAGGAGAGGCACCCTTCATAACTAGTTTGTAGACAACTACTTGACTTGGAGCTCATGGGTCCTAGAAAAACACAGCTCTCCAATAAAATTTCTAAAAAAAAGAAAAGCTACAGTAGTGGATGGGGACTGAGCCTGTAACCGGCCTCTGGCCTGTGCATTCACTCTTCCACACAGGAGCTTTTCATGCATTTGACAAGGATGGAGACGGTATCATCAAACTCAACGTTCTAGAGGTAAAGCCTACATGAGGTAGCACACTCCCCCTGTATCTTAAAATCCAAGATGGAGGACTCAGTGAGGCGGACTGGACCCACTGTGGGCTCCTCTCTTCCAAATGGTGGTGGACGGGTGCGATGGGAAAGGAACATAGAGGGATGCTCGGCGGGGAATTTGGCTCTTGGGGAATGGATACTGAGGGATGACTCCAAAGGGTCCCCTGTTCCTAAAATGACTTTATGCTGGCAAACATGTACCTTCCTAGGAGAGATCTGGGAGAAGGATGCTGCTTTTCAGAAAACCTTCCCAGTGTCTGACACGCTGGGGCTGTGTCTTTTCCCCACCCTGTAAGGTCCCTCGGGCTGGGCCATCTTTCCTTGTTGGCATTCTAATCTTGGGACTTCCTCTTTCAGTGGCTGCAGCTCACCATGTATTCCTGAACCAAGCTGGCCTCCGCCGAGGCCATGCAGGATCGCCCAGGATTTCGATTTCCCCCAATATAGCTAGAGCCACTTATCTGAAAAAGACACGGTAGCTACACCCCCAACAGACCTCCAGGCACCTCATCGGTCTTGTTCCTCCTCTACGTCACTCCCCACTTGGCCTCAGGACATCTGTCCATCTGTCATGCCTAGACTGACCCTTTAGTTAAGGAATGAGGAAGGGAGAACACTTTTGTCCCTTTGCCATATGGAGGCAAGTGTCTGTCTGCCTCAGCTAGCTGTAGCCCAGATGAGAGCTTCGCTTGGAATCTGAGCAGCCTCGAGTCTAAAGCAAATGCTCTCCGTAGCTTGCCCTACGCTGTTCACAGAGCATTTGCCAATGGCACTCAGTGCTTCCTGTGCTAGAGCCCTCTGTCGCCTTTATGTTCTCCCACCCATGGGACAATAATCAAACTAGCACTTGCTTCTGTTCGACTGTTTCAGGATGGGCCTGCTCGGGAGTCAACTAGCTCAGTGAAAGAGGGCTGGGTACTTGGGATTGTCTGACTCAGAAGATTGGCTGCCTTCTGAAAAAAGTTGGTTTAAATAAAGGCATGTGTATAGCTGTTCTATCATGTTTTGCTTTCTCACATTTAGCTATCAGCCACAGCAAGGCTGAGTAGCTTCCAATCTTACACTCACCCATCACACAGAGAGAGCCCTAGTTTCAGAATACAACACAGGAAAACACACATTCACACATAAAACCTGAACCCCACTTTAATCATGCTTATTGCTGTTTCTTGAGCATAGAAATCACTCAGATACTTTCCAAGATATATGAGAAAAGGAAGAATAGTTGTTGGTACATATATAGAACATCAAGAATAAATGGGTCACCTATAACTACAGGGCCAGTTACCTGAGTGTAGTGGAGCAGAAATGTAGTTTTTAATCTTAACTCCTCTGCTAACTAATTGACCTGTGTGTATGACCCTGAACAAATCCTAAAATGTAGCTGTTTGCCAAACTTATCTGGTCGATGGTCTGTGGTTTACCTATAACCATCTTGTGATTTCCACCCAATTTCCTTTACTCTCTATGCTAACGTGAAAAAGGGGGTGGCTATGAATATGGAGATAAGGTAACGAAAGTAAACAATTAGTAAAAGTACTTTATTTTCCTCTTGTATTTGCTTTATATCTTCTTGCTTTACAAAGTTATGAAGTTCACAGCTTTATACCAAAATGTAAGAAGGCCAAGCTATTTGCTTATAAACATTTTTTTGCAGTCAAATGTCATTCGATTTCATTCGTCTAATCCATATTCAATATAAAAAAAAATTTAGGTATCAGGGGTGCTGGAGCAGCTCTAGGGCATGTGTTTCTCTTAAGCAGGAGAAAGATGTTCAACAGCCTTTCCTCCTTGACTCCCTCCTCCTCCAATCCAATTGGGCTACTATTTTAAATTTGAGCAAATCTGGGAAACTTCAGTCGCCATGTGACACAGCAGCACCACATAACTGTGAGATGGAGGTGTTGTTAGTGGTTACTTTCTGATAAGTAGTAGGTTTGGTTTACATCAGGATTTCACATCCACCTGCAAATGGAACTCACTATAGCCCAAATTACCTCCACCATGGCTTCTATTCCTATCCATTAGAAATCTTCTCTGCAATCCTGAGGACCATGATGATTTGGGGCAGGGAAAAAAATCACTATTTCATCCAATGTGGCAGGCATGGCCTTCAAAACAGGTCTATGAGCTCTCCGTTAGGTAACAGGTACAACGTCTATAAGTCAGCGTATATAAATTGAAGGTATTTGAGCAAACCAGAGGGAACGTGCTGTTCAAATCTCACTTCACAATATACTTTGATCTCCCCTCCAGTGAATTCTCTTCCATAAAGCACACCATACCATTCCACTAAATGTTATACACCTACTCCCACCAAATCATCCACATACCTAGTCGCTAAAGTTGTCCACTGTATAACCTACCCCTCCCCCCCAAAAAAACCCAAAAAACAAAAATGAAAAAAAATCTTTGTTAGGCAAATAACCACTTAAACAGCAGTGATATTGCCTATAACTTATAGGTAGGTCAGGAGCTAAACACTCAACTGCTAATTCTTCTGAGGCAGAAAAAAAAAATCTCCCCACAAAAGCAGAAGTGTAGTAGCAACGACATTCTCTCAAATTCAAGTAATATCAGGTCAAGATAATTCTTTGTTCTTAGAGTTTTGCTTGCATTGTGTTTAACTGTTTATAACCGAGTAGAGGAGTATGCCAAAATACATTTTAAACCTGAATGAAAACTTGAAGTGACTGATATTTTATCAGAACTGCCATTAAAACACTAGCATATGCACATAAAAGGATTTATACTGTGGTTTCCTTGGCTTTTAGCCGCTAGAAGTAGGCACACGTAACTAAAAACAACATCCTAAAAAATGGCCTCCAACTCCTTATAAGAAACGAGTCGGGTTTTGTCACGTCATGTAACCGTTTCCTTTCTTCATTCAGTACTAAATACCAGTCATTGCAAATCCCTGAGCCACAGCTCTTCTCTGAGGGGAGAAGGAGGGCTAGAAACAGTCAAGACACTGTAGAAGATTTAAAAACAGCCAACGTTCTGCATTACTGTCAAGACACTTAGAAGTAATCACACACAACTATATATAAGCAGCCAAGGTGCTTACGGTGCCTTTATTTCTAAACAGGGGGCTAGGATAGTGCATTTCGGGTAACACACCAACCTGGTGTTAAATGAATTGTACACATCCTTAAAACAAAGACGTGACTCCCACTGCTTCAAAGAAAATGTTTGTGACACGAGGAAAAGTATTACAAGTGTAGGTGCCCACATGCATACACACGTACAAGGAACAGTCATACCCGCACACACAAAGGCAGACAGCACAGTTCTATCCAAGTTAAACGCAAATCAGTTCTTCCTGATTTTATCAGTCTGTTCAGACCTGCTAAGGTTCCCCACGATTGCCCAACACCTCACATAACCCCTTCCTGCCCTACAAGGGCCCTACCACTCTCATCTTTTCAGACACGTCCTCAGGCAGGACAGAAGGGCACCTATGTAACAGAGCATGCGAGACTTTCTCAGCACACTGCCCAACCAACTTGGAAATGCGGCTTCCCTACAGCCCAGAGAAAAATGCCAGGTTTGGCAGTAAATCCAAATATACTTTCCTGGGAAATCACCATTCCCAAACCCGCAGAACAGCCTAGCTCCTCTGGTCACCAGTATAGGAAATGGGGGTCAGAGGTGGGAAAGGCTTTTTAGTCTCATAAAGAAACAGCACAAATACTCTTTCTGCAACAGGATCCTCTCTGTTCTCTCTCAGGTGTCACACAAATCTCAATAGTGTGGTCAACAAAAGAGTTTTCCCATTCCAAAGACAGAAGTAAACAGCTTGTGGGGGAGTCAATCATTATCTAGTAGTAGCTCCTAGATTGGTTCTTAATGTTTTTTTGATCCAGTAAGAGCTACCTGGAGCCTTTCCTGGAAAAAAGAACACATACTTTGTCTTACATACAATTACAGGGAGTTCGCATACCCTCTTGAAACCTTTCCATGAGCCCCAGTCCCACCCCCATAAAGTCCCGCTGCCCTAGAGCCGGACTGAAGGAGACATGTGAGCAGATGTGTGCTAACAGGGGAGGGGAGAAATATGGATGCTCTGCAATCAAAGTAAACAGTAGGAGCCACAGCCCAAAGTCTGGTTGTGTGGCACTGGGCTCTTCTCTCTTCCTCTCTCTCTCTCTCTCTCTCTGAAGAATCTCTCAGAGTTTTGAGAATCCAGAAACAAAGGAATGGAAAGCAAAACTCCTATAGCTTCTCTTAAGAGTCCAGAGAAAATCCAAAAACAAAGCAGTCTCACCAAGGCTTTGTTAATGTGGCTGCTCTCAATGGACAGGTAGTGTCTACCTTCACCAGGTTCCACTCCTTTCTCGACGAGTGGGAGGTGAAGGTAAGACAATGGTTTCAGAAATCAGTCTCTAAGAAGCCTGCCTGAGGTCCTAAAAACTGAATGCAGATGCTTTATCCTAACTCTCCCATCTTGGGTGCTGCAGGTGAGTGGAAAGCATGCTGTGAGACTAGGGGAAGTACCTGATGGTTGCCATCCATCTAAGCACAGCTAGAGAATGAGAGAGGTGGCGATGGAGCAAACTAAAAGGTTTCGAACCCACAGCAGCCTTGGAGAGTCAAAAACCTGGAAAAGGAGATAAAGGCTACATTTCTGGTTCAAACAGCCTGACAATACCTGCAGCAGTGAGCGCCCAGGTCTAACAGCAAATTTCCAGGTAGATATTAGTTCTGCATGCTGCCTGGAGCCAAGCACTCTAGTACAACTTGCAGAGAGGTTCACTGGGTAGTGCTGTCTGTAAGGACTTGTCATTATGGGATTTGCTGTCTGAGTTCCTAAAATATAGTCAGCAGAGCAGTCACTAGCTGTGAAAAATCTACTGTCTCTCTCTTTAGCATTTAAAGCCAGCTCTGTCCATCTACAAAGCAGGAGACTATTGAAATACACTGCACATAATTATTAAGAAAGGAAACAATCTGCTCCAATTTCAATACCCAGTTATGACAACTGAAGAAATTAAAACTGATCCTAAAAATCTAGCATTTGAACAAATTGGTACTTAAAAGCCTGACTACAGGTTTAAACCATCATAAGAACATAAGCTAAAAATCACAAACTGAAATCAATAATACATATGATTAAGGTCAAACTGGGGAACCAATTAAGATCTGTATTTTTAATAAACATCTGGAGAACACTAGTAGCATAAATGACTATATGCCATGCTGTCCCAGAGGAGTATGGTTCCTTAAAACCTGTTTCAATCTGACAAACCTCCAGCAAGAACTTAAAAGTGTAACCTATCATTCCATAGAGCTGCCCAGACTTACGCTAGTGGAAAGCCTGGCTAGTAATCACTTTGTTCTTCCCTGCCTCACTGGGGAAGGGAAGAGAGTGGCCTGTGTGAGGGGCCAATGTGAAATCGGTTCAGCTAATGACTTCCCAACATGGGAGGCAAAAAACTTCATGAATCAATTTTGCTGTCATCCTCAGCATGTCGTTCAATGTGTCCTGTAGCATCCTAGGAATAAAGGGAAAAGGGCCTGTGAGAGAAAGTTGGTAGGACAAGAGAAGGTCAAAGCCAAGGAGAGCTTCATGGGTACATTCTAAGATCCCTACATGAAAGGCAGTTAGAACCCAGCATTCTTCATTTGAAACCTCATTAAGCTATCCCCCAAATCTCTGAATCATAATAATAATAAAAAAAATCCTGAGACTCTATTTATTGCAATTCTAAACATTCTATTGTAACTAAGCAAAACAGGCTTCCAAACCCTGCTCTAAATAGTCGAATGATCTCAGGTTAACCTCAAGTCCCATTGATGTACCTGTTTGGATCCTTTCCTAGCAGTGAAAAAAGCATCACAGTTCTTCCAGCGACATTTCAGAGTTTGAAAGTTTGGGTTCGTATGGTCAGTCAGCAAATGTTGTTTTAAATGGTCTACAACGCCAAATATCAGAGAGCAACCATGCCACTGGAGAGCAAAAGAATGAAAGGGCAAGTTAAAAAGAGTACCGGAAACATGCAATTAGAGCATTCCTACTTATATACTATAAATTTGGTGGAAGCAAAAATAAGCCCCTTTCTTTAATTTATTCTTGGCTAGGAAAACAAAGCCAGAGGCAATCAAATTAATTATCACTATGATGAGGAACCTTAAAAAGACTGGGAAGTCTTTTGACACTTTGGTATTTTGAGAAGACAAAGCACTAAGGTACCCATTACATCGTTAGACAGATAAAGAAAAAGCAAATGTTTATAGACAAGTTAGGTAAAATTCAGTTTAGATCATACTTATTCTTTATCTTGCCATCAAAAAATGCGTTTCTTTGTCCATTTATTTAAAAAGACAAAGAGCTTTCCTTTAATATTGAAAGGGCTGGTTTTGACAAGTCTAAGAACTGTTGACTTGTAAACTTAAAAATAAAAATGCCTGATTAAAAAAACATTTGTGGAAATATTTGTTGTAGAAAACAATGTTTGTCATAGAAGCCTGATTTTACACACGATCTTTATTACTTGAATCACAATCTTCCGATTACTTACTTTTTTTTAAACTGTAACTTTACTTCTAAATGTGGCTCGATTTCATTGTTAGTCAGAAATCATAAAGACTCTTTGTCTTGGCTTTATCCCTACAGGCTTGCTTGTAATAAACCTTATGATTATTTTTTTAAAGATTTTTATTGGGAATTGGGGGA